ATAAAAAAAATGTTTGACTAATTGGAGGGGTATACCAAAAAGTGCTGTATTCCACTGTATTGCATAGATAGGTATAACATATAACTGAATAACCAAATACAAATCTTCAAATGCTATAGCCCCCCTAAAAATGGCCTAGCGACGCCCATGGTGAATACCAAAAATGTTTACCAGTTAAACAGAGCAGATTGTGGTTTTATAAACCAGCTCTTGATTTCTTATGAGCTGCTAAGAACATGTAGAATGAACTGGATGATATCAAGGGTTTCAGCTAATTGTTTTTGATGTATTTACTGTACAAGTTTGTACAAGGACTTGTGACAAGCCTTTTATAAATATTTACAATGTTCCATAACATCTGAGTAACCCGAGTACTGATGGTCGTGGCCTTTTGTATTGTTCTAGCCTGAAGAGAGAGATCCGTAAACTAGCTCAGGAGGAGTGTGGCTACGAGGAGTCCACGGTGGCCATGGCCTTCGTTTACTTTGAGAAGCTGGTGCTCCAGGGTAAACTCAACAAACCGAACCGCAAACTCTGCACGGGGGCCTGCGTCCTCCTCGCAGCCAAGATCGGAGGAGACTTAAAGAAACACGAGGTCAAGCTTCTGATTGATGTGAGTTTATCTTTGCACACTGACTCTTTTAGCTCCTTACCTGAAGGTCCCAAATTGAGGGCTTGCGACCACAGCTACTAAACAGATGTTATTCACTCAACAGTCTTTAAGATTGATGCTTTGTCTCTGAATAACAAACGTGGCTATAATGGCACATCTGACAAAAGGAGCATTCTTTAAATCTCATTACTCTGTATTTTTGAATGTGTCTGTGTTGTGTAACGATGGTCTTTTAATTGCTGTTATATAATGAGAACTCTTGATCTCTTTCGCTTTAGAAACTGGAGGAGAGGTTTAGGGTGAACCGTCGAGAGCTGATAGCCTTTGAGTTCCCCGTTCTCGTGGCTCTAGAGTTCAACCTGCATCTTCCAGAGCATGAAGTCATGCCCCATTATAGACGCCTTCTGCAAAACTCCTAGCGACAGCCCCATCAGGGGAGAGTCCTCCTTCTCTCCTGATCTTCTCATCCCAGAAACCCCCTATGCACATCGCCAACGTCCACTATCATCTCCAGATGTTGGAATAAAGACACTATTCCACTGTTCTCTTTTCAGCCAAAGTGACAACTCTATATTGAACGTTTGTTTCCGCTCCAAGAAGCTACTTTCTAAAGGGAGTACCTTTTCCTGGACTGTTGATTTCTCAGTTTACTGAGGACATTTTAAAGTGTTCATTTGTTTCCCACTTACAGGGTTGTAAGTGTTAAAGTGTCAAGTGTTAAAAGGACTAGCAACAATTCTGTCATCATTTGCTCACCCCCATCATTCTCAATTTGTATGCTGTTATTTTTTTCCGTGAAACACAAAAAGAAAACTTTTGAAGAATCTTCCTGTTGTTCTTTTCCATACATTGACTGTTTTTAGTGACAATGGCAGTCAAGCTCCAAAAACACACCATAAAATTCTTCTGAAGCCGTACAACAACTTTTTGTGAAGAGAATAATTTCTATAATTTCTGAGGGATGGTTCACCCAACAATTAAAATCATTCCAAACGTGTATAACTTTCTAAGTTTTTGTCTATACAATGAAAGTCCACTGGGTCCAAGAAATATGGATAAGACATTTTTCAAAAATATCAACTTGTGTTCCAAAGAGGAAGGAAAGTCACCCAGGTTTGGAACGAGTAGATGATGACAGAATTTTCATTTGTGTAAAATATCCCTTTAAACATTATTAACTGAAAATTCACCAAAACATTGAAATTTCCATTGTGTTCCATGAAAAAAGAACAGCATATCGGTTGGAACATTGAGTAAAACTAGTCGAGGTTGAGCCAATCATGACGGAACTTTTATAGTTTGACTTTTCACAAAACTGGCCATTTCTATCAAGTTTGGACTGTTTGATTTCACATTCTTTCTAGAGGTTACAGTATTCCTGTATTTTTCCATTCTTCTTCATATTTCCTTAATCCCAAACAGGGCCATCCTTAGCTGATGCGGGGCCCGGTGCGAGGTAGGGAGCGGGGCCCCCCTCGGTCCATTCGCCGTGGGGCCCGATGCGACCGCACCAGTTGCACCCCCCTAAGGACGGCCCTGATCCCAAAGTTTGACACTCTGCCAAATCTGACTAATTTCACTGCACTCGATCACTCTCGGTTGAAAGCCTTAAAAAAAAGTAGTCGAATGATCCTGAACTCTGGCAAGTATGTGACTGTTCCTTATGTACGACAAGTGCACTTTTCAAGTCTTGTGAATGGCAGACCTTTATGGCATCTGCGGAAGCTGTAGGTGGAGGGGTTTTCATCTCATTTCAATTCATTTCAGCCAGCAGTCCCTCTGTTAGTGTAACCACCAAGCAAAAATATGTTGCGGACAGTAACAGTGGCATCTGTGGTGGGACTTTTATACAGTTCTTAAAGGGTACATTTACGTACCCCTGTCGTTGTTTTTTACCCTTGTGTGTTGACTTTGACAGTTTTGTGTGGTGTGGCTTGCTGCACTCATGGTTACTGTGGTCATGCTCTATGTTAGAGTGGATTCTGAGCACAGTTGTAGTGCTACACTGTATGAGGCAACATCAGGTCATAACGCTATTTTGCCTAACTAGGCTCAACAGTGGCGGGAATAAAATCTGTATGACTAATATGCTATGGTGTTGACTAATGCATGTACACCAAATCAGTGTTAAACTTGCGTTTGACTTGTAAACGCTTCTTTTTGAGAATATGTTTTGATTTGATGATTGTTTTAAATCCATTTTCCTCTGAACCAGATATTTTCTATCACCATCGGTGGTACAGAATTGTGTGTAAGATGAATTTTATCTCACAGCGCACAGACTGTGTTACTACATTCATAATCCCATTTTTAAATATGTAAAGTGTATAACGTTCACTATGCACTACTCGGTTCCATAAATCGGTTATAAACAACAGTTAGAGATTGATGCAAAATCAAATCAGTTAGAGTTAAACTTACTTTTAGAAGAGTAATGGCAAACTTGCATTTAACCATTTAACTCTAAAATAAATAATGCCTAGAATGTGAAGAGTTATAAAAGATCAAGATTTGGCCTTGTGAAATGCACTTTAGGATTTGTTAGCAAGTGACTTGGATGCCCAAAACAGATGAAGCATTTGTACAATGCAGATACATTTGTGTAAATATGCTGCTTTGCTTGTTCAATAAAAAGCTAAATTTTGAATATGTGTCATCATCGGATATTTGATTTGATGTAAGTTCTCAATGATGCATCAATATAATTAATATATTGATATAACCTTCTTACTTGCTCAGTTAGACCTTTGTCATTTTAAATAGTTTGCCTAATTTAGAGAAATTTCAGAGTACACGTCTGTAGCCTTTGATCCTTTAACAGTCACTACAACAGTTTTTTTTATCTCTCTGTAGTTCTAACGTTTTATTTAAAAGGGTTTTGACCTCAACAAATAGATAGGGGTGAGTGAGTTTTCTTTATTATTATTATTCGTTTTTTCTTTCTTGTTCTTTTTTGGTTTGTAACATTGTGAATGCTTTTTGACTTCTGCACTTTGTTTATATGATCTATATGCCTAATGTAATTCTTTGGTTGTAATCACAAGGTAATTTAAAGAAATTATCTAATTTATTATTAAAAGCTGGCTTAATTAAAAAGAGAAAAAATAATGTGCGATATAGATAACAGGCCTTAAACCATGAAAAACCATGATGGGTTCATTTCCGTTAAACAGGAAATGCTGTGTAACTCCATTCTTCATTTGTGACCAAATGTTGAAACAAACTTTAGAGAAGTTTCCCCAACACCCATCTTGGTGATTTTAGCATTCATATAGACACTCTGAGCTTACATCATCTCCTTCAGCTGCTCTCTCTCCCCTACAAGTGTTATAGAGAACACTTCTATTTACAATGGACTGTAGCGCATTATCTTACTGGTTATCTTGATACAGTATGTCAAACAATCACTACCACAATTTCTTAAACACCAGCTCCTCTAGCTCCTACTTACTAGGGACCACAAATAATTCTTTGCTTTATTAGTCTGCAGTTTACCTGGTAAATATATTTGAATGACATTTAAGTTATTTGTTTGGCAGTTGCTTTTATCCAAACGGCTCACAACAGACGTTTTAGCCAACTTGACTTACTGAAGCTAATTTTGATTTGTCAAACCTTAATTTTGATCCCTGCTTCTGACGTCACAAGAATGGTCTACTGTTTCGCCTCAGTTTTTGAATCCAATATCTGCAGATAACAACATCCACCCTGAACTCCACTTTCTCAATACGACTTAATGCTTAGTAGAAGAAACCTGTTGGGTTCTGCTAATTCATGCTCCACAACGTAGAAGATTCAGTCAACTGGCCTCTTGTACAAGCTCTATTCCTTCTTCATGTGTATCTGCTACATTCCCTCAATGCCTCAAAACAACCCGTGTTTGACCACTGCAAACTCTCTTATGTTATACCTCAACTGCACTGACTGCCAGAATCAACTTCAAGACAATTCCAATGGCATTAACTCTGGTACTTTCAATCCTTCATCAAACAGTAGCCTACACCCAAGCCGATAAATACACTTGAATCAACTCGACACCCTCACCCATCTGTCCACATGACATCCATTTCATCTATGAACTCCCAGACACTAACAGAACATAGATGACTCACCAGTAATACATTTCACACTCAAACTAAAATCAAAAACACTCTACACAAGTATGCGACAGCAGTCATTAAGGCTTGGCCAGTGCATTGCAAGTGTGTGGTCTTGTTACATATGTTGTGTTAGTGTTGCAGTAACAAACCCCAGTATTCGAATGGAAAGATAAAGTTTCCTTCAAAAGTCTGAGCTGTAGTGTCAAGTAACTAAATACCTGTTGAAAACTTAACTTGCTCAGCAATATTCTCAAGTAGAAGATGCATGTACACTACAGTGGACTCTTCAAGTTTACTCGGCTAGATTAATTGGTATGCATGGACATCAACAGACTATGCTGATGCCAAAAATTGTCAGACACATTGTCCGTGAGATGGCGCAAAAGTATACTTCGGGCTTATACTTATATTAACATGCAGAGTTCTAAATGAGCAACAGCATGTTTTGCGAAGTAGAGCTACAGTCATCTGTCTAGGTCAAGGGTTTCCAATCTTGCTCCTGGAGGGATAGAGTTTAAGTCCTGCAGAGTTTAGCTCTAAACTGCCACAACACACTTACCTGGAAGTTTCTAGTACGTTAACATTACATTTACATTTGGCAGATGCTTTTATCCAAATTGAGGATTTACAAGCGATTTACCATAAGATGACAATAAACACAAAAAGTGCCCCTTATACAAGGTTTCAGTCATCGTTCAAAATAGTTAAAAGCTAGGGATAAGGATAGTAAGAGAACAGAAAAAGCGAAGGCATAGAATTTGGAGTTAGGTAGGTAATTCCACCAACAGGGGAAGGTGAAAGATAATGTCCTGGAGAGTGATTTTGTGCCTCTCTGCAATGGGACAAGCAGCCGCTCGTTTACCGACCGCAGGCTTCTGGAGGGGATGTAGATGCTTAGGAGAGAGCGGAGGTAGGAGGGTACGGAGCCCGTGGCTGTTCTGTAGGCAAGCACCAATGACGAACTTGATGCGAGCCGTGACTGGTAGCCAGTGCAGAGAGATGAGAAGCGGTGTGACATGGGCTCTCTTGGGCTAATTGAAAACAAGACGTGCTGCTGCATTTTGAATCATTTGCAGAGTAATCCTAAAGACCTTGATTAGCTGGTTCAAGTGTATTTAATTAAGACTGGAGCTAAACTCTGCAGAACAGTGGCCCTTCAAGAGCAGGATTTGACACCCCTTGTCTAAGAAATCTAATATTTGAAGGATAAAATACACATTGTTAGTCACATTCAATGCCGAGGTTGCTTGGAGTACAATTCAACTTGTATACATGCTGGATGAAACTGAGCTTTGGCCCTGTGCCAGATGGCAAACTTCGCACTTGGGGTCTTGCTGACTTACAATGGCTGTTGTATATATGCGCATGTCCATGAAGTCCACAGGACTGCAAGGCAGGGGTCTCCAACCCTCCTCATAGAGAACTAGCTTGCTGCAGACGTCAGTTCCAGCCCTGCTCCAACACACCTGCCTGTAATTTACAGCTAACTCTGAAAACTGTGATTAGCTTGTTAATGTGTGTTTGATTGGGCTTGGAGCTGAACTCTGCAGTATGGTAGCTCTCCAGGAGCATGGTTGTCCCATTGCTCATTTTAAGTTTCAGAAGCAGGGTTTCCCCCTATGTGGCTGTTATGCACCTTTGACCCAACAGTCAAAACCACATTACATCACAAAAGTGTGGAGTCGGACAGTACTGTACTTGACTGTACTAAAGCATAAAATTACTGCAATATGTTTGCAGATATTTAGGAAACATGCTAAGTTCACATATTTGTTTCTCTGAAAAACAACGCTACAGCCAGTTATTCAGCTTTGAAATGTGCATTTTGTGTCAGAATGTCTGTTTTTGGTTTGGTCTGCGTGATTTCGCCCACTGCCAGTTTACCCAATAGGAGTTCAACATCCCAGGTTGCCAGTTGGCAGAAAATACAGCATATTGCAGCCACTGAAGCCAGCAAATGACCTGAATCAGAGATTGCAAATTCTACTCGACCTAAAAGTCTCAGCATCCATCTAACAAGCTCTGGTCTAGTGTTGTCTAGCTCTGGTCTAGTGAGCGGTGTTGAGCAGATTCTTAAACAGCGCTAATTGGTCATTGTGTTCACGCGCTCAACAGATATGACTGTGATTGGCTACAATGATCATCGCTCAACAGCGCTCAAATCTTAGCAGGAAATGGATGTTTTTAAAATGTCAGTACCGAATGGTATTGCGGTCTATGAACAAGTGCATATTAAGCACTGATAAAACAACTTACACCTTACACTGTAAGGCTCATTGGCTAGCATTTTCAGTTTCACTTGCATCTGACAACCAGCATGAGCGTCGAGGTCTGAGGAGGAAGGGCGGGAGAAGCTCTCCAATATTTTGGATTTGGACTGTAGTTCCCATTTTAACCACTAGCTGGTAGGCGATTTTGGAGAGGCTAGCAATTGCAAGCTATCTTTTAAAGCATAAGGTCTCACCCTACCCGAATAATCAGTCTCCAAAGCCACACCTCCTCCAAAACACATGAACGCGCTCAGGAAGGCCAGAGGCTAACCAGCAACACGATGAGAGACGACATTGGTCAAGGGTTGAATGCAACGCTGTCAGATTACCTCATGTCTCAATCACTGGAAAAAAAGTCATTACAGTACAAAGTGCATAATGTTACAATAATAATGCCTTCCATTCTTACTTGGTCTGCAGGAGCTAAATGGAACACGTTGATGTATCATGTATCATGTCTGTGCGAACAGGGTGTGCGGAAGTATGCAAATACATGCGTTGACAGGCAGGTAGGACAGCCTGTTGTAGCCCTTGGACTAAGGGTTAGGATTGGACAAACATTTTATGGTCCTACGCCTTCCACAGACAATATGAATACATATAAATACATTTAGACCACTTAACTTAGTGATTGCTATCGGGAGAGACTTTCAACAACAACAACAACAACAACAACAACAAAAAAAACGTTTTAGACACTGGTGCAGTGTCTAAAACGTGCAGGACTAAAACGTGAAACTAAATGGAACAAATTTTTTTGGTGTAGATTCAACAAACATACAACAGTCTTATCAAGTTATCAACCTCACATTTCCAGCTCTCCTGACAAACATTGCTCTTCCATCACTATTATTTGCACTTTCAAGCAACAGTGCATGTTCTTGATGTTCCGTCTGGTTCTTGAGGCACACCCTTCACACTTGACTTATATTCTTAACTGCACGTTCTGGTAATTGGCACTGATATGAGGAACACATTCTGACTTTGGCAAGAAAACATGCAAAACACAAATACACAATTCCACTGTTATTTTCATAAGAATAAAAGTGTTATCACCAAATTTCTCTTTACCAGAAAGTAATAGATACGAATTTTTGAATGTAACGTCTGTTTAACACGAGTGGCCAGCTGATGTTGACACATATTGCAGAGATTAAGTCTGTTATTTGACAGGTGAGCAAACACTCCATTTTTCAGTGTTATGGGCTGATTTCATCAGCACTAAATGCCTGATGACAGCTTTCCTTTCACCCATAAACTAATAAA